GGTAAATCAAGGGAAAGAGTTCAAACTCGGGCTGTATTCGGTCCCATGTCCTATTGATTTGGGAACGCGCAATAGAAATCAACGTTTTAAAAGGTAGATTTCACAGTATAATTTTGATATTCAGACAGTCTAGGATGATTGATTTGTATGATTCACTTTTTGAAGTACACATAACTCTCGGATTTAAATCCGAAGTTTCCACATTTATTTTCGTATGATATTTAGTCAAATCAATTGTTCAATAGAGATAATTAGTCAGAGCATTAGAAATTACATCAATTATTCTATTCGAATAGATGCATCTTATTACAAAACTGTGATGATCATCTCCTATATATATACCAATTAGAGATAGATCTTCTTGTGTTGTCTCATTCAATCTATTGAAGAAAGTATAAAAAACTGTCTTAAAAATCTAGAGAGAAGATGAAATTTAGAAAAAGGCGTTAATTTAGCTTTTACTTGACATATATTTGTTCGGTAAGATAGATATTTAGTCTTTTGCTGAAATTACCCTTCAGTTTTTATATTCTTGATATTTATAGTTTAATAAAGGTGTATAACTTATGTGATAGATTTGATTTCGGTTGCAAATATAAGGATTTTGTATGAAAAAACTCTTTATACAAATCTAGCCTTTTGAAACAATTTTTTATACCTTCTTCAATATGTGATTGAGAGAATATAAAAAGGTCTATCTCTGATTGATATATATATATAGGAGATGATCATCACAATTTTTATAATAGGATATATCTATTCGAATAGAATGATTAATGTAATTTCTAATGCTCTAGCTTACTATCTATTGCACAATTGATTTGGGTAAATATCATATAGATCGAAAAGTTACTATGCAAAAGGTTATGATACAAAACTCAATTTGTTCTCCTGAATAATATATCATTAGAGAAAATTTAAACATAGAACAAGTATATAATAGTTTCCAAAAATGAATAGTTATATAATTTTAAAAGGATAAAAAACAGCATGCTATGATTGTATCAGTAATATAAACTAAATATAGGAATGAATTGACTTGAAATTTTTGACACAGATATAATAGAGAGTATGGGTTATAATCTGATATAAATAAGATTGCTCTAGTTTATATAATGTTTTATATATACAGAAAATAAAATGAAGTAATCTACTGGGTAGATAATTTTGACAATCATTGCATAAATGAGAAGAAAAAAATTTTCTGATTTTGCTGTTATAGGATGAGAGAGACTTTAGCAATTGTTATTTATCTAATTTTATTATCACAGTTGCTGGACTGTTTGATCCTCAAAAAGCAATTAGAAATCGAAAGAGATGAACTGAATAGATTTAAATACAAAATAAGAGAAGAAAGATACTATTAGAGACATAATGTTAGCAAGAATAATATGTTTTGTCAAAAATGTTGATTTGCTAATTTGAATATAGATCTTAATTATGTATTATTAATCATGTTGTGGAAAATGGCAGACATATTAAAAAGATCATAGGACAATACATTATCTTCACCATAATTTTTGTTAACTGTAATATATGTTGTTAACATAACATCTCTGAAGATCATTTCTAAAGAAATAAAATACACTTTTGATGTATATATAATTTATGTGTTTTTTTTTATATTGGTTTATTTATGAAAAATTGTTATCAAAGAGAAATCAATTGTTTATTGTAAATAAATTACTAATGTTGATATATTTTTATTTTCAATATTGTTATTTTAATTAAAATATTTCTAATATTATGAATGATCATATATTATCAAATAATGAAAAATATTGAAAAAAATAAATTATTAACTAATTGTTATCTAAGTTGCTTATCAAGATAAATTAAGAATTGATTGATATTTGAAAAATTCATTGAATCTTCTATGTTTTCAACATGTTTACATATAATTAATTTCTTCTTGTATTTTGTTGTTAATCGATTTTTCTTTTGCTTATATTGTTTGTTTGATTAATAGATCAATAATCTCTAAATTTTATTCAATATATTTAAATATGCAATAGTTAAATGTACATAATATAAAAAAAATATTTTTTTATGTAATTTGATGGAATTATCCATATTTGTTACTGTTTTCTTAGCTGTACTATAAATAAATGCAATTATATTTCGTTATTGCAAATAAATGTCATCAAGTTTCTTTTTCATTAGACTAAAATGTGATAAGAGAGAAAGTTTCCAACTGTCAAATCGTTTCTTATTTCAGACTATGTTCATCTGATCAATCTTGATGAGTCATGAAAATGTTTTTGTTTTGAAACATAGTTCATAAAAGAAGCCTTTCTTTAAAACGTGTATATTTCGATAAGGATGTTTTTGTTCCGAGTTACAAGTTGAACAGTTTCTAGTGATTATGAAGCCTAACTATAGGCAAAAATTCAAACCAAAACTCGATCATTCGGATACTCAACGATCATATGTCCTAACACTGATTTCGAGTAAAATATCAGTTATTCGATAAGAGAAAACGAAAAAATCAAACTAAAAACAGACTTCTTCACTGCTGATCAAGATCGATCGAATGACAATAATTTTAAGTAAAAAGAAATAAGACAGTTGTAAATGTTTTTTTATATTTATATTTATTATAAGTTGATATTACTACTAAAATTAAAGATCATCAGTATGTTCTATTACGCTACTATTGTTTAATAAAAATACAGAATCCATAACTTGCTTGCTATTTTAAACATTTTTTTTCCCTTCAAAAAAAAAAAAAAAAATTTCTTTTTCTACTAATTATGCATTTTAAGAATATTTCAGAGTAATTGTTATATATATCTAATATAAAGCAAAGAAAATTTAATGTCATTTCTGTAGTTGATAACAAGAAAAACTGTGAAAGAATAGTTTTTCAAGAAATTCTTTACAATTTATGTGTCATGGTTTGTCAATAAGAAGAGATCCAACGCTCATTTAACTATCCAAACAATGTATATAATAGAGATTCATACAAATCATCTATGTATTATTTATCATTGATTTTTCAATAAATCAAAAAAAAAATTTATTCTATTAACTAATACCATTAAATTTTATTACGAGAATCTAATGAATAAGCGTGATTAAATATTCAAAACAAGGGAAAAGGGAATGGGATAAGAAGGGCAGTTTATCTATGGGTTGTTATTGTTTTCTGTTCAATTGAAAATATCAATGATTTTTTTCCATTGTCCACCATCTTTTTTCCAAACAACGACATAATTTCCACCATCAGTATTAATTTTGTATTGACTATAGAAAAGAAAACAATCGAATAAATGATAAGAAACAATTAAAATGATAAACCTTATTTCAACAAGATAATCCGAGCCACATGGAATAACTTGTCCAGTACGTAATTCAACTTTAGGGTTTCCAGCAGCTCTTGCATTAGTGTAATATTTTTCAATTTGACTTAAACCTTCATAAACTTGTTTATCGTTAGCAAAAAGCCGTCCATCACTAGCATAGGTAGTAACAGCTTCTTTGACTTGGCCATTATTATAACCACGTTCAAATTCTCTATTGAGTTTATCAACAATATCGAATGACATTGTATTTTGAATGATGACTGATTTCTCTACAAATGTTAAACTAGTAAATGATTATATAGCTATGTTGTTTTCCCTTTTTATACTAAATCTCGTACTCATTTTTTTTCTTTTTTTCTCTTTTTATGTAGAAAAATTCTCGAGTATTGTTGTATGTTCCGATCGTTAAAAAATTCTGACATTCATTCATTCATTCATTCATTCATTTCAAAGTCAAATGATGAGAGAAACCCTATTGGTTATGTATGAGAAAATGAGTTTTCCTTTTGGTCGGATGTCAATCACTATTGAGCAGAAAAAAACGTATGCCTTCAATCAACATCCGTTCTTCTGTTTCAATAGAGGAAGGAGACTTTTTTTTTTTTTCTTTTGTTTTTGACAGTCTAATCTAATATTCAAAGATCAATCAGAGATTAGTTTTCATTCATGTTGAAACAGTATGATACTATTTTCAATTATTTCTTATTTAAATAAAGAACATATATTTTGATGATTAACATTACTTAGAATAAAGAAAAAAAATCTTTAATTATTCTCTTGAGAAATTTTTCTTTCTTGGTTATGCGAACTACTATTGACAGATGTTAATATTGAATAATGATCCATCTGACACAATCATAAAAGCTATTTACTAATCTTTCTTTATATAATTTAAATATTTTTTTTCTTTTATATCGACGTTTTTTTTTATATTAAATAAACGTCTAGAAGAGATATTTTAACTTATGTAGTTTAAGTGTTCTTTAATTCGAAACATCATTGTCAATTAAACAATTTTCAAGATGATTGCATACAGACAATGACTTATTAAATATTTTTCCACGCTGTGCATACTTAAAAGAAATAAAAGTTAATACAAAAAAAAAGAAAAAGCAAAAGGAACTGTGCTTTTAACAAAATCAACATAAGTAAAAAGAAAAGAACACTTTATTCAATTATTCTATTGACATATATTAAATATGCTACTCTGGAAAAAAACAATTTATTCAATCAATGAAAGACATCAACGTTGACAAAAAAAAAGGAAACAATATCTTCCACATCAATAGAGTACGAAGACAATCTATATAACAAATAAAATACGAGATGAAATTTAGTTTATTGATATAAGTTACTCTTCGATATTAAATGAACATTTAACAACGATGATCGATGAAATTTTTCAATTATTAATGTACGATTGAAATGAAACAAAACAAAACAAAAAATCTAATATTATAATCATAATAATTATAATGTTAAATAAATCTACCATCAAAATTATTATATGTATGCATCTAGATCATTACATATTTAAATAAGTCCCTTTCAGATGTATCAAAGCAGACTAGAGACAATATTTGTCTTCAAAAGCTCAGATCAATCGTATTCTTAATAACATATGAAGAACTTTATGAATCAATGTTAGATGTGCCTCATAAATATGTTTTAAATTGTCATAGACACTATATATATACATGAATAAATTACAACATTTTCGTACAATTGATGTTTTAGAGCATTTATGCTGAAACTTTAGCTCTTATGGAATAATTTTAAAATATTTTTCATTATTCTATTTTTCTTACAAGTTTTTCACAAAACACACGCATACAAATTTTACTTTTCAATATAGTATCGTTCTTTAAGTGTAGTTAGAAAATACAGTATTTTAAAGTGAGATGTATGTAGAGCAAACGCTATCTTGTGAAAAAAAAAAACAAGAGAAAATGTAAATAAACCATTTTGTTTCTTGAACTTTAATTTATCGGAACATATAATTGACTAATCTTTACATCTTTCTGTTCGTATATTTTTACTCTCGACATTTCATGACCGACATTTTTCTTTTTTTTACTCTGCAACAAAAGACTACCGGTATTGTAGGCAACGGAAGATTTGAATAATAAATCAATATAACAAATTATAGAGAGCTTTTCAAGTTACTTTTTTTTTAAAATACACTCACTTAGTTCAGCGAAATTTTGCAACTTGTTTGATCTAAAACTCAACCGTGTAACATAGACATAGAGAAAACTAAAATGTATTACTCAAAAATTAGATTAGGTCTGTTTTCATTTTAATTATATGGAAAAGTTGCAATGTCACTCATATACAGAGAGAATCAAGTGTGGAAGGTAGAGAACATTTATTGTCGAAACTTAATAATCACTTATATGAATTTGAAAGCAAACGGTATGTTAGAAGTACGATCTATATATATATGCTAACTCTATACTACGGTAAATTGATTAATAATAACTTAATCGTGTGCATATTTATGATAGAGTTTCGAGCAATATGCGATGATTTATTCAATAATATTAACGAAAACGATTAAATATATTCATTTATTTAATCTATGATTTTGAATTCACAATTGAATAATAGTTTCAATCAACTATCAGTACTTTAAATTTCTCTAATGCATAGTTCTATTAAATAAAATATCTATGAGAACAAAAAAATTCGATCGAAATAGGTAATTTTTAGCTTTATTTTTTTTTCTATAATATCTAATGATCGTTTTTTTTCTCATTATTGATGAAAAATGTATTGCAACCGACGTTAAGCTTTTGCTAACAATATATATTAATGCCTCATTCAATCATACATAAATAATTAATCGGCTATTATACTTACATATCGTAATAATACTTTTCTTCATTATATATTTCTGCCTTTACGACTTTTGTGAATGTTGTTAGTTAAAGAATATGATAATTATGCCATGATTTATATATAGATTTAATTAAGTTATGAAATATATTTTGTACCATGTTCAAATGTACAAATAGAATAAATCATATCGAAAATGCCATGTTACTACAATTCGTTTTCGAAAGCAGGCTAATCTTGAGTTTAAATATTATTTTTAGTAGATATTTTTTTTATTAAATCATAACGATATAATTAATCGACATGGTTTCACCTTTTCCTACATTATTAATTAATGAAAGATTTCAACTAATCATTGCACTGTTAAAATCATTCAATTGATAGACTGTTCAGAAATACTGGTGACTATGACATATTAATCACTTAGAAATAACAATCGGTTCAATATTTCCAGCAAAATATTCATAAAGGGATAATATTATTATAGGTATCCATTACATAAGAATATCAAAATAAATAGTTAATGCTGTTCAATAGGAAGGAGTTTAAAATAAATGAGAAAAATGTTCATTTTATAGCATTGTCATGACTAACCTACACAAACATATTTCTGCTTCGGAAATGGTATTAACTTGTCAATCAAAACTTGACATACTATGAAACGACAAAACCTTAACTTGAATCTTCTAAAGGTTTACACAAACTCAACGATGCGAATGGTCTAGTATAGACCTCGCGAGATATATTTTAAATGACAATAACTAAGAAAATTTGAAATAAGTCAACCAATTCCATGTTCAATATATAATATTTCCAAGTTCACAATAAATATATTTGCTCAACTGATAGTAGTTAGTACTATAAAATTATGATTCGAATTCGAACTCAAACTAACAAATAACAACAGAAATCAGTAAAGAGAATGTAGAAATAGGAAGAATTACCTTCAAAAAAAGTCAGTTCAAATAAAATGAATAGAGACAGTTGAGGTGGGCATTACGTAACAGTAGATAATAAAACTAAACAAAGATTTATACTAAAAAATGAAAGATAAACATTTCGAAAGTCAAGATGACAACAATGAAAAAAAAATAGAAACTATTTAATTAGTTCAAATGTAGTCAAAATCTATGTCCAAGATACTTTTTATGTTTGTTAACTATAACATGAATGATTTTGGTGGCATTGAATAGACAAACTTTTCGTCTTTATTTTTCTATTTGAAAACAAATTCTTGATGAATTTATTGCAAAAAAAACTTTATTATATTTTCTCATTGTTCTAAAAATCAAAAAGAACTATTCGTACTGAGTTGATCTTAATTTAATTTAACAACATTCATTACATTTATTTTATTTCTAGTATGTAGAAATTATTATCATACAAGATTGATCTTGAAAGAGATTAAAAATTATCGAAAAACTTCTTATTAGAAATCCAGTGAATAACATCATATTTTTTATTAAAATAGTTGTAGACTATTTTCCATCAAGAAAGAAACATAGAATGTTCATAGTATTATTTGTTTCAGTTATTTATTATCTTTCTATATTGATTCATAATTAATTTTAAGTAGTTTTCAACTTCTTGAAATTTCAAATCAGCTAGTTTTATATTTAGTAATTATTATTAGTGTCAAATGGACAGTCCATAGAGACAACAGAGATGTCCATCGCGGCTAAAAATCTGCCGCTGCCGCGCCGCGGCCTTAGAAAAAAAAGCTGCCTTACTGCAGCCGCGCCGCGACGGTTTATAAAAAAATGTTGCCGCTGCGCTGCCGCGCCGCGATGACATATCAAAAAAACGTTGCCGCGCAGCTGCCGCGATGAATTATAAAAGAAACATGCCGCCGCCGCGCCGCTGCCGCGGCGGTTTACAAAAAAGTGTTTCTAATTTCACTGCTGCGACTATATTTGACCAGAGATATTGGTACTAGTCCATCAGATTCATTCAGTCTCGAGGTGTTTCATTTGTAAACCCTGAAATTCTATTAAATTCATTCAGTTTTTCAATGTTCCCCAAAAAAATCCTGCCGCTGCCGCGATGGTCTTTTAAAAAACCTGCCGCTGCCGCGATGGTCTTTTAAAAAACCTGCCGCTCCCGCGCCGCTCCCGCGATGATTTTTAAAAAATCTGCCGCTACCGCACCGCTGCCGCGGTGATTTTTTAAAAAACCTACCGCTGCCGCCACCGCCATCGCGGCAGCGGCAGCGGCAGCGCCGCGATGGACATCTCTGAGAGACAAGTACTTTTCATTTTTGGTTAATATCTAACATTTTCATACTTTTGAACTTGATCATATAAATTGTTGTGAAATTCTCTATAGATTTATTTGTATTATTCAACGAATGTTGTCTCTTTCATTTTTAAAACAAAAACATAATTTTGGAAAACAAATGAATGAGA